GAGATTCTCACGTTGCTTGTGGAATATAAATTGACCCCATTCTATAGGAAAGCAGTTTGGCAGGTCTTTCCAAAGTCCTAAAACGTGAGTATTCATTTGCCCTGAAATGTATTTACGGAAGACACTTGGAAGTTAAGTACGTTTTTGAAAATACATGAATATACTTATCTCAATGTCAATTTCAATAGCAAAACATGTTTATGATATAAGTGGAATATACAACCAATAAAAATTATATGTGCCCGAAGTTTTGACTACTATGTAGTTAAATGTAGTTGCTTTTGCTCTCATTTGAATTTGAAAAGCTGGCTGATTTTAGAAAAGAATACCACCTTTCGTTTATTAAAGCAGGCATACACCTAATATCTAATGGTTTCTTGTAATTACCACAGAATTGAGAATAATACTCCTGGTAGGAGCCTCCGAGGTGGACCCAATCACCCTCATCTCCTGGTATTGGTGCCCTGTGTCATCTGTGCTCTTTGAGTGTGGGGACCCAGTAGCCTGCTGCTAATGAATAGAAGGTGATAGGGTGTTACTTCCAAGAGCAGGTTACAAGAAGACTTGATTCCATGTTGCTCATATCTTCTCACTTTCTTGCTGACATGGTCTGAGGAAGCCACCCGCCATGTTGTGAGCGGTCTTGTAGAGAGCGGTCCACACGCAAGGAATGGAATCCTGCTAATCATCACATAACTGACCTTAGAAAAAGGCTCCTTTGGCACTCCCCCAAGTCAAGCCTTCAGATGAGACCAAGGGTCTGCTTGACAGGTTGACCACAACCTTATTCAAGACCTTGAGCCAGAGGCGCCCAGTTAAGTTGGGCTCGGATTCCTGATCCACAGAATCTGTGAAATAATAAATGTTGGTTCTTTAAGCTGTCGAGATTGGGGTAATTTGTTAGCGTGGCAATAAAAAAAAAATAATACGGTACTCTTTTTGGGGGAGGGAACTTTATTATCTCGTGAGATACCCATAAAAAAAAGTCTTGTTATTACCCCCATTTACTGAGGAGGAAGCTGAGTTCAGGACCTTGTGACTTGAGAAGGTCATTTAGCTCAGATATGATTCTGCCAAGTTCATGCCCTTTGACCACATTTGCAAGAGCATTAAAAATCTGAGAACCGAGCCCTGCCCCTAACTCTACCGGTATTATCCGTGCCACTGAGTTGCTCAATTACCCCATCCGAATTCTAGACCCTTCATGGGTATGATGAGATGATTGAGGTGGGAGTCTCTAAAATCCCTCTGAGCTCAAAATTTCTCCATTCTATACAAGGAAAACAAAAGTAAGTAACTGAAGTTCTTTTGATGGCTGGGGGTTATAATAAAAAAAAAAAAAAAAAAAAAAAACAAAGAAGAAGAAGAAAGAAAAACTATGCCTCAGCTCCAGACTCTGTCGGGTGTTCCCGTGCTCATGCTAATGTGTTGTCCTTGTTTCTGTCACTGCCCACTGCAGAGGGGTGTGGATCTCCATTATCCTGACAGTGAGCTTTCTCTGGAGGAATAGTCCTCTGCAGTGACCTTCCCAGATCCAGTGCTGCCCAGCTCTGTGGGGTGTAAGTGCCAGGTGACATTTAGGAGGCCAGTTTTTATTAGCGGGTTCTATTCTCTAAAGTATTGAGTGACCCGTGCTTAGAAAAGCATAATCTCATTTTTGTAACTTACCTCTTTTAGTTAGCACCTAATGGTTCGGGGAGCCAGAGGCATCACCGAGAGAAAATCAATGTAAAATATATTCTTGAGTACTAACTGAAAGAACTTACCATTATATGATGAGCTAACAGTAAGTTATCAGAAATGTGACTACCTTTATTGTAAGTGATTTTTTTTTATCTACACACGAGAGGAATAGAGTAAATGTACTGTGCCATTATGAACCTGTCAGTCACGTACGTATGAGACATCAGCTCCATCTAGAACAAAATTTCCTGCCACTCAGAAATCATGTTTAACATTAATCTGTTATTCTGATCTGCACTCACTAGATTTTTGATGGACAGATGAACTTATGAAATTTTTAATACATTTTCTAAAAAGCTAAAACTTGGAGCTAAATTGACTTTTTGGTGAGAACCAACCGTCACAATCTAATGTCCACTCCCATTGTTCAGTAGAGTCTTCCCCATCTTGTCATGATTAAATGCCTATGGACACCCTACAGAGATACCCAGAGGAAAGACATTCTGTCAAGATTGTGGCCAAGTTATTGCCGACGGCAAATTCGGAGTAAGAAAGTAGACCACGGCACGATCGCAAATATGCACTAAATTTATCTACTCACAGATGAAGAGAACAATACATTTGAAATACTTAGTTTCCCTCAGGCAGGATAAAGATGGATAGATAAATAAACATCAGCAATGCTGTGTCCGAGGCACAGAATAAAAAAAAAAAAATCTATTTTTTAGGGGATGACATCCTAAATTAAAATAAACGGCAAAGATTTAAAGCACAAATGGGCAACCAAAAAGAACTGATGAGCAAACAGAAAAAGAGACGCAGAAGACATTTTTTAAAACTCACAGGACATGTAATTCACCTGAACTAGGAACAGTGCTATTACCTTAAATATTAATAGCCTTAGAGGTGTCCTCGCCATTTACCCAAGTGGACACTGTCTTTTGGGCACACCTTCCCTCCTCCCACCCTTGAACTACAAGGACTATTACAACGGGATGATCTCACAGACTGAAGCTACCTTCAGTACTTAGAATCCAAAAGGACCTTCCTTGACAAGGATTATATACTATTTGTTCTCCTAAATCACTAGGGGTCACCCACAGTCAAGAATATCTTTTGAAACAATGCAACCACTTGACATTTCGTGGCATTTGCATATTTCAGGATATTTTAACAGCCTATCTCAGCATGAGACACACTTATAACTAAAAAAGTCTTTGTTGTTTGTTGGAAATTCAAATTTAACTGAAAAGCCTATATTTTTTAAGTTTTTTTTAGATATTTGTTTACTTTTGAGAGAGAGAGAGACAGAATGGAAGCAGGGGAGGAGCAGCGAGAGAGGGAGACACAGAAGCCGAAGCAGGCTCCAGGCTCCGAGCTGTCGGCACAGAGCCTGACCTGAGGCTGGAACTCATGAATGGTGAGATCATGCCCTGAGCCGAAGTCGGATGCTTAACCCACTGAGCCACCCAGGCACCTCAGACAGCCTATATTTTTCTTTGCTAAGCCTGACAGTCCTGCCCTTCAGCCCTGAGAGGTGGCAGGGCAGTTAGCCAGCTAGTTGGTGCACAGCTGAGATTAGAAGTCAAATCTCGGGGCTCCTGGGGGGCTCAGCCCGTTAAGCGCCTGACTTTGGCTCAGGTCATGATCTCACGGTTCATGGGTTCAAGCCCCGAATTGGGCTCTGTGCGGACAGGTCAGAGCCTGGAGCCGGCTTTGGATTCTGTGTCTGCTTCTCTCTCTGCCCCTGCCCTGCTCTCACTGTTTCTCTTTCTCTCTCTCAAACATACATAAACATTAAAAATAAAATAAAATAAAAAAGAACTCAAATCACAAGACACTTAGCCATGAGCACCTTCCAAAGTGTAGTAAAGCCAGGAGGAAAGTAACAGCTAAACTACTCTGAGATGCAAATCATTAACCACAAAATTATGAGCACGGTGGCTTTGGGGGTAAGCTTCTCTTCCCATGCACCCTGTGGTGTGTCCCCTCAAGTTTCCAATCAGCACAATGGGTCAGCCCACAACGATGACAGGAAAGATTTTCAAACAGATGTTGACCGTGACATCCAAGGCACCTTCTATCACAACCACACCCCCGACTTTGGGTCTTTTTCGTCTCTCTAGATCCTTTCTTTTCTTTTCAAATTCTCTTGCACTTATTTTCTTTTTCTCATCCTTTTTTAAAATTCATGCACCTTGTGCCATCCTAATGGGGACTCACCCAACTCAAATAATATTGAACCTTAGTAATCAAGATGTCCTAAAAGAAGAAAAGGCAAAGCCATAGAAGTAGACAATGGATTCGTGGTTGCCAGGGCCTGCAGATAAAGGGTGGGGTTGGCTACAAAGGGGTGACAGAGCTGTTCCATATCTTGATTGTGACACT